TTGTATCTTTTGTCCTAGATCAAGCACATTTTAATCATTAATGTGAGAGGACAAAGGAGACTACTCCATTTTGGGCAAAAGTGGAGTCATTCTGGTTTCACATAAGCAAAATGGAGTCACTTTGGTCTCACAGCTGGCATTTACAGATATCTACTATTTTCAAAGAAAACTTTATAAATTACTAGATTTTTTGTAGGAAACAGGGGAAGGGGATATTACCAGAACCTCTGCAGTAAACCCTAGTCTCCTGTGAGCCACGGCAGCACATGGTGAATTACAGGAAAGGTAGAAAAATGAGACTGAGAAGAAGCTGAACTTTGGGTCTGATCAATGCTGCTCTGGGCAGCAAAGACAAAAGACCCCTAGCTTGCAGCACTTTTTATTCAGTACATGGGGAAACATGTAACAAGTGAAAAATGCAGAGTTCAGTACTTTACATTGGGATAAACAAGGTGTAAAAAGACTGGGGGCAGTGAAAACCTAAGAACAATGAGGAACTATGCGGATGAAGATTTGGTTCATCTCTGGCTCTCCCACAGGTGTGGTCTTGTCCTGGAGCATTACAGCATCCGGGATCCCTGAGATCTCAGTTGTGACCCGAGGCCAAAATGCAATTATGTCTGGAACGTCCTAGCTGGTCTGTAGGCAGGAGAACTAGGCCTACTCAAATGATTTTTCCCTAGAATTATGTAGCATTGCTCTCAACAGTTTTTAGTATAAAAAATGATTGTTTTACTCAAAAGAAGCTAAAGAGAAAATAAAATGGCACCAGATGAGTTCCTTCTATATTCCAGCATTGTGTTGTATGAAAGGAGAGAAGGTTAGCACTCCCCTTGACAAGGATGGAAGAGGCCCTGTAAGACCGAGGGCCTTACCAAACGCTCTGAAGAGCTGACTGCAGCAAAGAACACCCAGGAAGGAACACACCGGACAAGTTGGAAAGCAAAACAGACCTTTATTAGTCTGGCCAGATGGCACTCTCAAAGCAAAGTAGCTTAGAAAGGCAACTGGCTCAGAGCCCGAGGCTGTTTTTATAGGGGGTTGAGAGGGAAAATTAGCAAGAGAAAAAAATGTTGATGGTCAAAAGATGTTTGCAGATTGTCTTGTAGATATGTGTGTCCAGGAACATAGTTTTGGACAAACAAGGAGTTGGGTAATTCACTTAGGAACTCTATGTTTGTTACAGATTTTATCTAGTGTCCCAGAACTAACAAGCACATTTTAACCATTAACTCGCAATCAGTCACTATGTTGGGGCTGGGGGAGCCTTATGATTACAGAGTTATGTGATCCCACAGCCCTTGGGCCTGACAACACGCATATGGTTAAGGCATTGCCACCTACTTCTATATTCCAGCATTGTGACACATGATTCTACATGTGTGTTTTTATCTTAACTTCAAACTAAGCCTCAGTGACCAGTGCCATCTGTCACAGATCCATCCTAGGAACAACAGATCATGGCCGAGGTCCCTAAGTGGTTCTGAGCATAAGAAAAATCACTATGGAATCCTTTCAATCATGCTCCATCAGAGCTGGTTACTTACTGTTGTTATGTTTCCTCATGACCAATTTATACAGGAAGCAGCCACTGGGTATGGAAGTGGGAGCACTGCCTAAATTTCTCAGTTTGGGATTGGCCAAGACAGACAAGATAGGTCTCAGACGTAAGCCAGTCTCTACCTGTATGTTTTTCATCTCTCCCTAGCCATCCTCACTAACAAGCTATCACTCCTGCACTCTGCTATACCAGCCCAGTGCTTGTTGTGCCCAGATTGTGAGGTCCCAAAGACCACCTCAGGAGGCCGTTTCCGATGTAAGCACACAAGGGTCGTTTATTCAAGCTTAAGCAGGGACTCTCAATTGTCACCGACACAGCGGATCGAGATTGAGAGCCCTGAGTCCCAAACTAGCAGGGTT